TATAGAAAGAGAAACAAGATGAAGAAGGCTTAGAAATAAACATATATATGTATATATAGAGATACCATTACACATATATATATATATATATATACTTACATGTCTGAGTACATAGGTCATAGGTATTTCATTGTCCGTTGGATACGTAGGACGGAAGTAGCGACTGGCGAGTTGCCACAATCGAGACTGACAATGAGGGGTGTTGAAAAGGGAAGAAAAAGAGGAGATAGAAAAGGAGAAAAGTCGATCGGGCGTTCCTCTTTGACGGCCGTTGTCTCCTTTTTCCTCGTAACAACTCGTATACATATAACATATATATATGTGTGTGTGTATATATATATATTCTCAATCCCTCATTAACCCTTTTACGAGAAGACTCCTTTTTCTTCCTTTTTCCTTTCCTTAAGTTTTTATGAATATATCTTTGACTTTTTAATGCGTCAACTCTTTTGTCTATTCGAAGGGAGTTCCCTTCCTTCCTTCTCTTTTTCTTCTCCCCCTTTCTCACTATACCCCCCCTCCCCAGTCTGTCGTAGAATTTTTCTTAGAAAACATTACGAAGCTCGTTAGCATGTAACCCCAGAACTTGTCTTAATTGACTCAATGGATGCCTACTCGGGTCCGTCTGCTAATTTCCGACGCGATGATGAGGACAACCAAACGGTTTGGCTCATCTGATGTTAGAGAGAAAGGAGGAAGGGTTAAGAGAAAGGGAGACAGAGAGCAACCTATGAGGTCAAGATCGTGCTTAGGCGAATATACTTCGCGTATAAAGACCATTAATCCTAGTAACGTTATCCTCACACGATTCTCATTCTAAAATGTTCATTTCTCATTTTCGATTCATTAAGTTAGAATAAATTATATACAAATTATGGCATATTTTTCCATTATTTCATAATGCTTTATAATAGAGAAGATTTGATAACATTTAACTCATTCTCAAATTTGAACAGAAAACTTAATTCGATTAAATCTAATTGCGGTTTTTAATTATATATAACAGTGATGTAAGAAACATTATATACCTACCCAAAGAAGAAGAAAATGTCTGGTGGTAGGTAATAAGTTAAGCTACTTTGCTAATAAACTAAATGAGTCATATTTAACGTTGCTGGGAGATATTTTTCTTCCTTTTCGAGATAACAGCAGGAATAGTAGTAGCAGTTAACAAAGGAACATCCCCGGAGAACAATGTGGAAAATATGAAATATTACGAGATAGGTATTTCATTTTTTTTTTTTTTAGTTAATAAACAGTTTAAAGTGAAAGGAAAATAATATCACTAGGAAAATTGGTCTTATTGGAATAAAATGTTGCAAACAGGTTTTGGTAAGCGTTTCAAATAAAAGCAAAAAAGAAAAAAAAATTGCTCGATTTGAAATGCTGAATAATTTAGTTGGATCGGCATTTTTTCTCAGCAAATGGATTTTTTTTTTATTTTTCATTTAATATTCTGGTTTATTAAGACTTTCCTACGGGTATAGAAAAAGCTTGTAAATATATTAGGGGGAAAAAAGACGTGCGGGATTATTGTATCTGTGTGTTAAAGATATTATATTTAAGAAATAAAACTGCTAATTAATTCAAATACACTCAAGTCTTACATTTAAACACTATATCACGATAAGATCCTTATTAATTATTTGTGAATGAACTTGGTGGCTAAAATTAAGAATAAAATAAAATTGGAAAGAAGATACTTTTGTTATTTAAAAGTAAACTTTTCTAAAAATAAAAAAGCAAGGAGAGAGAGAGAGAGAGAGAGAGAGAAATTCATTTGAAACGTGGCCTCTATCGCAGCACCAGATGATCCCGAGTTTATGCCCGAGGCAGAGTGCAGGTTATAGAAATCATCAACAATGCAAGAACGTCGGGGGATTTTTTTCTTTTTTCATTTAAAAAAAGAATCCACCAAGAGAGAAATATTTTTAAACGTTACGTTATTTTATTTTGTAATTCAAACTTGATATACACAGACAAGTTGATTCATCGATTAGAATAACAAATAATTTTGTAATAGAACGTTGTATTAAATTCTCATTTAAAAATAACATGTTATTATAGTTGAGAAAAAAAAAAGAAAAAAAAGGGATTAAATACTTGGAATTATGAATCAAGTCGTCTTACGCGTCTCGATCGAAATGTAAGAAAGATGAGAAAGAAAGAGAAAGAGAGCTCATTTAAAACTTTCCCTCGAAACTTTAAGTGGTTGGTATGAGTAAGCACGGGAAGACGACGGAGTCAGCAGGCCCTTCTTACGAGACCACAATTACGGACTTTTTCGATTCCAGAGGTTCTTCTTATGATGGCTACGAAGAAGATGAAAAGATTAAAACGTCGCTATAATTCGTTAGAAGAATGATAGGGGCACATCTCACGTTTTATCTTACATTCATTTTTTTTTTTCTATGATTTACACACACACGTATTATTTCGCGTTATTTTCATTCATCCAATACGTTTCTAGGTAATAACTTGTCAATCGGTTCGATAGTTTCGATAGTTATATATAAATATAAAAAGATAAATTTTAATGGTTCTTTGAGAAACGTTTTATTGTTTATAAAATAAAATCGATCCTGGTAGAAATTTGGTTCGGTAGATTGAGAAACTGTTAGGATAGAAAGAGAAAGAGAATTTCTGCATTATTCATATCAACGACTAGTTCTATACTCTCTCTCTCTCTCTCTCTCTCTCTCTCTCTCTCTCTCTCTCTCTCTCTCTCTCTCTCTCTCTGCGTCGGAATCCATGCATTCTAATCGCGTCCATAAGATGAAAATGCAAGCAAATGATTGCCGCATAATGCAAGATATCGGTATTTCCTTGAATAGTAATAATATATATGTATATATATTTTGTTAATTACTACGAACACACACACAAACACACATATATATATATATATATATATATATCAAGTATTTTGTAGGGAAATATATTACTAATTAACATATAAGATTTGAAAAAAACGTCGATTCATTTTTTGTCCTGGGAAAAAATTAAAAATAATAATTTTGTTTTCGATCCGGAAGGTCAACATCGTGAAAATAAGTTCTTTTTACAGGTGGTATTCGATGTATCGCTTTTCAGAACAGAGAGAAAGAGAGAGGAAGAAACAGTCAACTACCCAGCCAGCTAGTAGTAGACCAAAGACAGTCACTTAATACGTTTCGAGGAGGGATTAGGTGTCGTGTTTCTACGGACTTAACTTGATATAATACCAGCAGCTTGCTTGGTCGACAAGCATCCGCTCTCTTAGGTCAGTCTCCAGTCGATCTCGACTTTCGACTGTTTCGAGTTCGCCAGCATTTCAGAGAATGAGGAATTGTTTCAAGTGTATATGCATTTACTTACATTCATATTTTATATATATATATATATATATATATATATATGTAAAGAGAATACTCTTAGCCTTATCGTATTTAGCGCGTAAATCAGGTCGGTAAATCAGACTTCCTATTATATTATAAGACAATCGGATGATTTAATTCGGGCGTGTCAATAATGGCGTAAATCACTAACAATAAGTTCACACGTAGAATTCATTAAGAACCTCCAGACAAAATTGTTAAAGTACACAAATTGTTGTTACAGTGTGAATAACGACATTGAATGTTGTTTCTTTGTTAATTACAGGTAGAATTAATAATTAGGTTAAGCTGTTATATTGTATTTTTGTATAAAATAATAAAATCTTTGTTAATTACAGAGAAACAATTCTTGTGTTAATCATACAAAAAAATAAAACTTCCATCAATTTCAAAAACCATCTTATGTATATACTAACTGATTCCCACGGTTATATAAATAAGCTCATAAAGATTGTTTGTTGAATTAGAAAAGAACTTCTTCACCCTGTTATATAATTTCGAAGTAATATTAAATGTATATAAACTCGAAACCAATGTTAACATGACGAGAGTAGGAATGTAAACAATGCCGAGGTCGTAGTCAACTTTGGCATACTACCAAGTTTATCAGTCAGTCGTCTACGAGTCGTTCTAAGAGTAATATATTTCATAGTAATCTTTAAAAATATATATTTTTTTTTAATAATATTCCGTAAGGGAAAATAACGACCCCTTTCATTCTTTAACACCAACATATACATACACACACGGGAAATAAAAGATGTACACAACGTCTTGTTGCATTTAAAATACGCTTAAGTAATATGCAGGAAACATTATGGTAAATTTCTTGATATGCCTTGCAAATGTACATTAAATGCGTCTCTCTCTCACAATGCTTTATATCGTCATTTATATAATGTACATATTTAATATACATACATATGTACATTATAAATCATATTGGTGGTATTTTAAATTATATAATATCTTTCATTGAGCTAATCAATATCGCAAATCATTTTGACCTATGATTTATCGAGCGATTACGAATAAGTTAGTCGTCATATAGTATATATATATTTACATATGTATATGTACATATGTATATGTAGATAAGTATATATAGATCTTTCTTTTTTGTGAGTTCAACGATAGAAGTACTTAAACGAGCCGCGACTGACCTCACGTCCGGTTTCTCTCGGGGCGTGAATGGAATCAAATGGAACGGAGGGTTACTAAATGACAATGGTCAACTCGTACGCGCCGGTTCTTATTTCCGGTGCAACGTTACGGACATTGTTCATCGCGTTGTCTGTCTGTATGTCTGTATGTCTGTCTGTCTGTCTGTCACGAGATAGGAATGACGGGAGGACTACTCGCGTCGCTCGATGTCACCGACACGTATTGATTTCGTCTGGCAGCTGACTCGCACGAGACCTAGTATATGCACTTTACAAAGAAGAAGAAGAACGGAAGTAAACGAACTTATGCCGTTGAAAAGATATAACAAAGAACTTAGCGGGATTCTTTCCGATATTATAAACTTTCTTTTTTATTTTCTTTTTTAATTTTAACCAATGATTTGCATTTGATATAAGAACAAACATATAAGTGTGTATTTGTTTTTTTTCGATGTTGCAGATCGTGTTTGTTGCACCCATGCTCTAGTGAAGGCATCAGGGGAAGTTACCGAGAAGGAGCGGCAGGATGTGGCGATTACTCGTCTTTTGGATCCTAGCGATCAACTTGGCGAGGATCGATGGAAGAACCGCGGTTGTACCTCACGACGTTTATCCGGGTTATGACATAACCCGATTTCGCGGTGATTCGAAACAACAACCATCGAGGTTTCGTTTACTTGACAATGCTTTCTCCAAGTATTTCACCGTTTTGAAGAATGGCCTTGTCATGACAACGTCGAAACTCGAACCGTTGCTATATCAACCTGGACCTATCAATTTGGTCGTTTTAGAAGAATTAGCAAACGGTACGAAATCTCACGATCTACAATTGTACGTGATAGATCGTCATCACCAGATAACATTCTCTCGGGAACGTCTCGGTGAAGGTGAAGTGAAAGAAAATTCACCCGCCGGTACTCTGATCGATGGATTTCCAGTTTTAAGAGCACGCGGCAACTTTCCCGTTCATTATACCATTTTACCAGACGAAAGTGGTGAAAGACCATTCGCTTTGAAAGAAGATCATTCGAACGATAGTGGTTTTAACATTACACTTAAGTCAGTCAGGCAAGGAGTCAGTGTGGTAACAACTAAGCCATTAGATCGCGAAATAAAAGAAAAATACAAGTTGGTGATACGTGCGTTCGGTCGTAATTACGTGAGCAGCACTCAAATCGGTGGTTTTGTTCGTGTAATTGATGAAAATGATAATAGTCCTGTTTTCGAGAAGGATGTTTATACCTTCGAAATTCGGCCTACGAATATTGAGGATTTGAGAGAGGGCATCGACATAGTTCCATCATGGAAAAGATTTATGACGATAGGCAAGCTCGTAGCCAAGGATGCCGATGGTGACAAATTGGCTTATAGAATGCTTACCAATACGGATCTTCTGGTCGTCGTTCCACAAACGGGTGAACTTTTGTTAGTCAATGAACCCGATTTAGCTCCTGAAGAAGACACGGAACGACGTTTTCTCGTCGAAGCACACGATCTTCGTACGCCACAGAAAATCTCAGAAAAGCCGGCTAAAGTAATCGTCAGATTTCTAACCTCGGTAAACGTTGTCGAGCCGGAACCTCACAAGATTCGTAAGAGACGTGTCACCAGAGCTGTCAGGCCTACTAAGAAGATCGATTTTTCCGAGGCCGATGGCGACGTAGTTGGAAAAATAGCTTTTCATCTTGAGAAGGAAAACGAAAAGGAAACTTATAAGATCAGAGACGAGAACAAGTGGGTTACGGTTGGATCCAATGGATCCGTCATGGTCAAACAAAAGTGGGATTATGAAGCTCTCGGACTCGAAAAGACTATCGATTTTTGGGTTACCATAACTAACATGGGTAAGCTCGTCTTTTCTTTTTATTCAAAAGTTCTGTTTGTAGATCTCTTTTTCTTTTTTTATTCCAAACAAATTTATTATTTTTTTTCCTTTTCATTAATAACTTATGATTTTATCATTGATTTTCATTTATATGTTCGAATGTTATTTTTCTTATTAATTATTATTTGATTTCATTTTGTCGACTGTGCGAAGAGCTGTCCGAAGAACTGTGTGCACGGTTTTACATCGATTACCCGTGTCCATTCGAAGACGGTACCAGCATTTGATTTTTTTTTTTCAAAGATCGCTTCGAAAAGCATTTGAAATTCTTTCGCTTTTCTGGACAGTCTTGATACACACGCGTAGCAAATAAGCACCCTTTCTTTATTAGTGGGAAATTGGGTATAGTTTGAAGATAAATTAATTATTTTCTAGCACGTTATCACTGTTATTAATTTGAGATATTTTCTTTCACGCATAATCGGCATCCAAAGGATTTCAATGTAAGTATCATCGCAATATCATTCATTTCTCTACACGTATACGTGCGTGCGTATACGTGTATGTATGTATGTGTGCGTGTATTTTTTTGTTTTTTTTTTTGCTTAAAAGTATTTAGAAAAAATTAGAAAAAAACAATACTTATTCATTTGCAAATTCATGGCGTATTTCATGTATGTTTCATATATTTCACAAATGACGAATAGCACTGTTTAAATGGTTATTTCTATATATAATATTTCTGACATTATTTTGATATTCCATCTATCTCTGTGGTTACAAAGTCTGACAAAATGTACTTGATTAAAACAAATAAGGTTGCAATGAGTGACCAAACATACATATCGTATCGTTAAATTAATGAAATTGCTATTGAATTAACCGTAGTGACCTTATTCGAAATATACCAAATATCGTATAACCATCTATTTGGTGAATAATATTAAATAAATTATAGACTATTCGTACTCGCTTGAAATTTATAATTCAAGTTTCGTTAGATCGGCTTTGTCAAAAACAAACAACGGCTTATCTTATTGATCCTGCCAAAGCATGCATATTTTTGTTCGCTTATTCGTGTAATTCGTGTAAATTATATATAACTTTTTTGTTTCTATATGTTATATGTTTTTTGAATTTTTGGCTTCACGAGGATGGGTTGAAAAAGTGAAATGTAATGTTATGGAAAAAAAAAAGATAATTTCTCTAAGCTAAGTTAAAAATTTTTCAACCCAGCCACATGTGTGTGTTGCAACATGCTTAACATTGAATTGTGAAAATATAAATATGATACATAATCGTAGATACGGACAATCAACGTGTCATTATCAACATGAAGGACGTGAACGACGAGCCACCTTACTTCATTAACCGTCCTCTACCCATGCAGACTGTTGTACAGCTGAATGCACCACCAAACACGCACGTGTTCACGTTACAAGCAAGGGATCCTGATACCGATCACAACATTCACTACTTTATTGTTAGAGACCGGAGTACGTAAAAATGATTATTATATTTGACTATTACTATGACATTTTAAAAAAAATAATTTTCTTTTTTCTTTCCTTTTTTTTGAAATTTATTTCCGTTTGTTTAATTAATTACTCCTCATTGTTGAAAATCGGAATAGATGATAATTATTATTACAAGTTGGAGTAATAACATTTTCGAATCATTTCCATTTGAGTTACCTTTTGAGTTTGCTTTAGTTCTCTTTAATATGTTACATGGTTAGAAATCAAGAGTGCGTGAAATTTCATGATTATTATTATGATTATTATAATTATGAACATTGTCAAATAATTTACATTTAATTAAGTTTTGCGGCTATGAACTTGGGAAGAAAATTATTACGACAAATATTTAAATATTCGGTAAAATAACTGTCCCGACGGGTTAACTTGACTTTTGATAGAATCTTAACGATTAGGCGATTCTTAAATAATTCCATTAGCTTTCTAGACTAATTATAGATAAGATAGACGTCTATTAGAGTGCTCTCCTAGCGTTCGTTGAATAATTTACGTGATATCTCTGGATCTGGAAATTGTCTTTTATTCTTAATCAACCGATCGATTTTTACGTGAGTGCAACGTCCGGTTACACGTGAATAAAGTCATGATGAAACCAATCTCCGATACTTATTTTCGTGCCCTTTATAATGTCGTTTGACATGCGACTACTTTTCACTTCCTTTTTTTTTTTTTTAGTGAAAACTTCTTTAGAATCATGGTGATTTTTATTTTCTTTTTTTAGTTTCTTTGTCGGTAGAGAGAAATGTTACGTTCTTAACAAATTTATCTTTACTAGTTTCATATTGACAACTCGATAGTGTATTGCATAGATATTTATAAAAAAAAAAAAAAATAGATAATATTGGATAAATGTAGGTTTATCTTTTTTTCTTTTATAGCCGGTGGTCGTTTCGAGGTCGATCAAAGATCAGGCGTAGTACGTACTCGTGGTACCGATCTCTTTCAGCTGGACATGGAATACGTTCTTTATGTAAAAGCGGAAGATCAGAATGGTCGAATAGATGAGAGACATTACCAGTCGACTACGGAGGAACGACTATCGATCGTTGGTGGCAAACGTGCACCGCAATTCTACATGACCGCTTACGAAGCTGAAATTCCAGAAAATCAAAAGAAAGATTCCGAGTAAGAAGTTTTCTTGTTTTTTTGCTTAAAATATTTTTCTTTAAACGATCATTTCATTTCTTGTCTTTTTCTCTTCTTATAGAAAGATAGAGAGAGAGAGAGAGAGAGAGAGAGAGAGATTTTATATTGTTTAATTCGTTTAAATTTGCAGCATCATATCGGTTAAAGCCAAGTCATTCGCCGATCGTGAAATTCGTTATACGTTAAAAGCTCAAGGACAAGGTGCTGCAGGAACGTTTAATATTGGTCCCACTTCTGGTATCGTCAAGTTAGCAAAAGAACTCGATTTTGAGGATTTACGTCAACCACACATATATTCGTTGATAGTTACTGCTACAGAAGATTCTGGTGGATTTTCAACGACGGTCGAGGTACTTTTATCAGTTTCAAAATATGTTCATAACGATAAATGATTGAACTTGATGAGATAGTTTAATTTTTGAAATAGTTCAGTATAGTTCTGTGATATAATTCTAACGTATAGGTTGAATACATCATATTCGCATATTTGCAGTTAACCATTAGAGTTTCCGACGTGAATGACAACGCTCCAAAGTTCGAGTTACCAGACTATCAAGCTCACAACGTCGACGAGGATATTCCTTTGGGTACCAGCATACTAAAAGTTAAGGCAACCGATGCCGATTCTGGGGCAAACGCGGAAATCGAATATTTAGTGTCGGACGATCATTTCAGCGTTGATTCGAACGGTATCATCGTAAATAATAAACAACTGGATGCAGACAATAATAATGCATACTACGAATTCGTAGTTACGGCTAAAGATAAAGGTAAGTTTATTCAAAATTAATTACTACTAACAAACACTGTGATAATAGCAAACTAATTAACATTAAAATATAATTAGGTACACCATCGAAGACCGGTACGGCTACTGTACGAATTTATACTAAAAATAAAAATGACGAGGAACCAAAATTTTCTCAACAAGTGTATACGCCAAACGTTGATGAAAATGCTGGACCAAATACATTGGTGACAACCGTGGTAGCGTCCGACAAGGACGGTGACAACGTTCGTTTCAGATTCGTTGGTGGAAATATTACGTCGGGACAATTCGTTATCGAAGAAATTACTGGAGTTATTCGTCTTCACGGTGACAAAATAACATTGGATCGTGACAAATACGAACTCAACGTGACAGCATTGGACGATGGTGCATGTTGTTTGAATGGGGATGCAACGATACATACCAGTACAGCTGTCGTCGTTGTTTTCATAACCGACGTTAACGACAACAAACCGGTGTTCAAAGATTGCGGAACTTACAATCCTAAAGTCGAGGAAGGTGCTCCTAATGGAAGTCCTGTGATCAAGGTACAAGCTACCGACGAAGATAAAGGTGTCAATGGGCAAGTGAAATATTCCATAGTACAACAACCTAATCAGAAAGGAACTAAATTTATGGTGGATGAGGAAACTGGCCAAGTATCCACTAATAAGGTAATTTGATAATAATTATTATACGATTAATTGAACAAATTTACGTGAAATGTTATCCTCGTGTTTTACTATCGGATTGTGTATGATGATCTCTACATTTAACGTAAAGTCCTTAATATTTTACCTTGAACTAGAAAAACAGACTTGTTAGAAGGGGGTAAAATGATTATAACTTTAATTATCAATCCGAGCGGGTGCTTCTCATCGAGTATGGCAACGACGAAGAGTATTTAAACAGGCCACGTTGCAACAAGAGAGAGAGAGAGAGAGAGAGAGAGAGAGAAAACTCGCAATTAAGGACATGACCTGATTATGCTCATCACGATTACTTTCAGGTATTTGATCGTGAGGGTGACGACGGAAAGTTTGTATCAGTTACTGTAAAAGCTACGGATCAGGGTGAACCATCCTTGGAAGGAGTTTGTTCCTTCACCGTTGAGATAACTGACGTTAATGACAATCCACCGTTATTCGATCGTCAAGTAAGTTGATAAGATAAGAAACAATATAATTATAATATCTCGTGTTAGTAGTTAAACTACTCTTTGGTGTTTAAAATATCTTATTGACATTTTTCAAAGTATGCCCGCGTTTAAGGATTTACCTTGTACATTGATCAAACGATTATTATATCAAAGAAAATATTTTTCAGAGATACGTGGAAAATGTTAAACAAGATGCAAGTATTGGTACTAATATTCTGAGAGTATCGGCCTCTGACGAAGATGCCGACAACAATGGCGCTATAACATATACATTGAGCGCACCTAACAACGATCAAGGCTTGGAGTACTTTGAAATCCAACCAGAATCTGGTTGGATCGTATTAAAGAAGCCACTAGATGTGAGTATCTATTTTAAAAGTTGACTCGCATATTCTATATCTTTTTAATCGTAAAAACGGCTACGATTTGCTTGGAAAAGCGCGCGTGCACATAGAATATTATCATTCATACTATAATATCTTAATTATAATAATAATAATAATAATAATAATAATAATAATAATAATAATAATAATAATAATAATAATAATAATAATAATAATAATGAAAATTTTAAACTACAATTAAATCTCCTTTCTATAAAATTTCACGCGCGTTATTCAAGATCTCGTATAAGCCGAAATAATATAAATGTATATATATATATATAATTTATTATACATAAATATATACATGCGTGTATATTCACGTTAATGTATATATTGTATGTGTGCGTGTGTGTATGTATGTATGTATGTATGTGTGCGTGTATATATATATATATAATATATTTACTTATATACACGTATATACATATATTTCATATGCCGATATATATTGTACGTTTTGCGTTAACTTACGTTCTTTAACACGAATCCGTTTTGTTACTACTTGCCGGATAAACTTGTATACCAATATGCGTTTGGTCGATAATTATTTCTCTCATCACTAATATGCAACGAAATGAGTTTCCTTTTTACGGCACATGTATAGAACTTTTTAATTCCCATTGATATGCACAATGTGTTCACTATGGTAAATACTTAGCTATGCCTGATTTCCTCAAACGCTTCATGTACCTGAATCGATCGACCGTTCGGGCTATTTTTGCATCAGAACACTCTATCTCTCTCTCTCTTTCATTCTGTCTGCGGCGCGAGTATCTTTTTTTCTTTTTTTTTTCTCTCATCTCTCTCAACTTTTTTTTTTTTTTTTAAATACATTTTTTTCTCTTGACTGATTTTTTTTTTCTATTTTTTTTTTCTAATTTTCTTTTTCACTTCTTTTTTCAAAATATATAAAACGTGCCTCGAAACACCTATCGTCCAACGACTCTGCTAAAATTTTTTTTTTCGTTTGTTATCAGTATAACGCGCGCGAATAATAATAATAAAATAACATTCGTTTTTGTTCTTCGTACGGACGATCTTTACGCGTTTCCTATATGATTTTTCAACGTTCATTTTCGATCGACCATTCGACCTTTCAAAATTCAACTACATAACGAAATAAAAAAAGTCCGAAATCTTTCTCGCCGTTATCGAAAGAATTTTTTTGTCGTCGCGCGTCAATGCAATACTTTTTTTGTTACTTTTTTCCAAAAATGGCAAAAAATAAAATATATATATATAAAAAAAAAGAAATTAAAAAAAAAAGGTAAAAAAGAAAAAAGAAAAAGAGAAGAATCCACGATTTTTTGTGTACGTACGTCACGCGTTAGAGATACGTAAGAATGACACAGAGGAAAAGAAAATAATAAAAAAAAAATATATATATAATAAAAAAAAAAGGGAAAACGAACAAAGCTGCTGACTAATAATCTTTAATGTTCTTCTAACATAAATACTAATTTAAATGTTTTTCAAAAGGGAAGTGATGTTTTTTGAACTTCCAGGAGCAGGTGGGAACGACATTTTTTGACCCCCACGTAAGGTGTACTTCAACCTCTACGCATTTTGTGGTGCATCAGACATAAACAATTTTTGAACAAATGCTTGCATATTTTATATGAATGTATTTTTGATTCCTTTACAGGAACGGATTCTCGCTCTCGCTCCTATCATCCATCCTCTAATCTCGACCTTTATTCTACGTCACTTATGCTCACTATCATGTTCTGTCTTGCTCTATTACCTTCCTTCTTTCTTTATCTTTCTTTCTTTCTCACTCTCATTCTCTCTCTCTCTCTCTCTCTCTCTCTTTCTTTTTCATTATCTTCCTTACTTTATTTCTTTTTTATTTTTATTTTTATATTCCAATCGATCATTATTTTTAATCGTATGTATGCTTCAACATTCATCTTCTATCTCATTGACAAATATTATTAAATCATTATACTTTCTTTTGCATTTTTATCTCGATCGATTCTCCATCTTTCATCTCATCTAACTAACTATTATTTCTTCCTATATAATTTTTATAAGTCATTCTATATGCGTTTTGTTATCTGCTACATATGGTTTGATGATTATGGTTTGACAACGATCACGATTCTTTGAAATTTGTGTTCATCCATCGTTTGCAACCATTGGATTGTACATTTTTGTTTGTTCTTTTCTTTTTCTCTTTCTTTCTTTCTTTCTCTATATCATCGTCATTCTATTCATCAATAACTATCGTCATCTAATTCTACTCTCGCAAATCTCACCAAATTTTTCACCCCCTACACCTAGTTCCTTCACTTACTTTACCTTGACCCTTCACTTTTTCCGCTACATCATGACATGACTGACAAAAATATATATGAATAAATATACATATATTTATATATAAGCATATATATGTATATATATAAAGATAAAAAAAAAGAAAAGAAAAAAAAAAGAACGATTTTTTGTGTCGAGAGCGTGACAAAAGCAAAAATTAAATCGCAAGAAATTTGTCCGTGGTGTGACATTTTTTCTTCTGTGATTGGGGCAGCATACCACTGTCGTAAACGGAACGAACGCATACGGTCCATACAATATATGACTATATATAGTGACCTATGCGAGATAACAGTAGAAATTGCAATTCTACACACGTATACAGAATATTATACGTACGACATAACTGAACCGAGAAAAAAAAAGAAATAAAAGAACAGAAAAAAAAGAAAAGAAAAGAGTCCAACGAATAACGTCCATCGGTTTTTGAGTGTCGTTAAGAACGAAAGAGAACGAATCAGAGCCCCAGGAAAATCTTTGTCATTTTTTTCCGTCTACCCTCGACTCCGGAATATATATATATATACGTTTTATCCGTTTGAAACCGATCACCGCTAGCCGGCCAGCTAAATTGTCCTTTGCCCTATCTCTCTCTCTCTCTCTCTCTCTCTCTCTATCTCTCTCTCTCTCTATCTCTCTATCTCTCTATCTCTCTATCTCTCTCTTTCTCTCTTATTCTAAATTTCAATATATAAAAAAGAATATCTCTTTCTCTTTCACTCTTTCTAAATTTCTAAATGCATATAAATATATATATATATATATATATATATATATATGTATATTTCTCTCTCTCTCTCTCTCTCTCTCACTCTCACTCTTTTTCTGTCTCTCTCTCTCTTTCTCTACGTTCCTATCCCATATCCATATATTCCCAAAATTTAATCCCAGATGCCTATTTTAATGCATTCTCGCTTGCATGCAAATGCCTGCATTGGTTGATTTCGTAAAGGAACTAATTTCAACTTCTTATTGTTTATGTTTGTGTTTATTGCACCATTTACTTTCTTCGGATTTGATGATGACAAAAAAAAAGGGCTGTTTTCCAGTAAGTAGGAATAATACTCTTGTGTTAGACACTTTGCATCGGAATATATATGATATTGATAAACGATGCGATAGTCAAGATTATCGTACGTATTGAACAGGAAGCATAATATTCGTTGCAGTGTATTAATACAGAGAGCTCTTTGAGTTTCGATTTATATTATAGAATGTTTATTCTTTCGATGAGTTTTCGCATATGTTGTTATTATTGTCACTCGATAAATTTCTTTCTTTCTCTCTCTCTCTCTTTCTTCTCTCTCTATTTCTCTTTCTCTCTCTTTCTCTCTCTATTTCTCTCTCTCTCTCTCTCTCTCTCTTTAAACCTTCGTTTTCCCAACTTTTATTAACAAAAATTTTCCGTTGTTTTTTATTTCGTTTGACGCGTTAAATTTATCATTTATGTATATATATTAGGTCGAGTCATAAGTAACTTCCGATGCGACTATGTAGAATCTATTTTTCGTATTAACCCACTACAAGTCACCGAAACAAACGGATTTTCGATATCACTATATAAATAAGAATTCAGTTAGTCTTCTGTCAACTTTTTTATGCAGTCAATGTTACATTTAACCGTTTTTCTTAACCACTGAAATGGATAGTAAAAAGTGTATATTCGATAAATGTTATGCTTTAGGAATTGAAACAAGGCAATAGCACTAACTAAGATGGCAACTGAACAAATATGCAGCGTATACAGTGAAGGACTGATAATTGACAGGGTAGTCAGAAATTGGTTTGTAAAATTTCGTTCTAGAGATACAATCTTAAAAGATGAACCGAGTTCAGGACGTCTTTTCGACTTTGATGAACCTTTTAAAGGTAATATTGGAGCAAAATCCGATAGATACGTTCAGCAATTGCAAAGAGTGCAAAAAAACTCCATGAAAGGTGTCTTGCACTTATCAGTCGCAGAAACGCCATTCTTTGTCTCATAAAAAACGGAAGTTATTTATGACTCGACCTAATATATATATACATACGATATTTTTCACGCGACATTTATTTATTATTTTCGTCCTAAACTCGTAAGTATCTCGTATTACAAAAATTTGTCATTTAAATTCAATGGTTTATTTTCCATCTATATATATATATTAATAATATAAATAATTATAAATAAATTTATTATTTCAAATATATTTATATATACCAGGTTCTCGTCCTAGGTGTTGTTTTCCTTCTTTGAACGCGATCGTTATATTTAATAAAAACAGCACATTAAATCGATGCAAGAATTTGTTAAAAAAAAAAAAAGAAACAAATTATTGTAAAACAAAACATTTTCGAGACGTTTCAGATGATCGCAGTCAGAGAAAAATAACGTTCCTAGTTAACACGAAGGAGTACAAGGACGTTTAAGAAGCCTGTGAGATAACCCACTGATGAAGATCTGGATCTTTTAATCATGAAGATACTTGCGAGCACGCGTCGTCCTCTTTCTCTCTCTCTCTCTCTCTCTCTCTCTCTCACACACACACATACACTCTATCTATCTGTCTTTCTTTCTCTCTTTTTCTCACTCTCTTTCTCTATTTCTTTCTTTCTTTCTCTTATTTATATTTAATTTCTAATATCGATTTGAACTCAAAACGTCCACGTGGACTCGAGTGACGAAACGAAATATTAAAAATTAACGAAACTCTAATACGATCGACGCAAAACAAAAATTGAATATATATATATATATATATATGTATGTACATATATATATGTATATAGATAGATAAAGAAAAAAATCGAAAGAAAAAGGTGTAAACAGCAACAACAACAACAGCAACTTGTGTTGAGTACGAAACAGTCTAACAAAAAAAAAAAATAATATTACAAAAAAAATATAAAAAAAAAAAAATAATAAAAAACAAAAAAAAAACAAATCAAAATGATAAGAAAATTGTCCTGTGTAAGTTGACGGCCGAATGTTTTGCCACTATAGCGTGACACCTATCGCCTACGAGTACGGGCCTCCGACAGAGGGATGCTAGTCTTGTACGCAGACGTGGACGTTGAGTTAGACGTCGTAGACAGGAACAATAAACCACCTGTGTGGGATGCGAATGTATACGGCCCCATTCACATCAAAGAAAATGTCACAGTGGGTACTGTAGTGACGTCGGTGAAAGCCAGGTTTGTATACCACGACATGACCGAGACAAGACACGTGACATGCCGTGCCATGCCATACAGTCTGCTAACTTTTTTTATCCTTCATTTATATCTTTATTTTATTTTTATTTATTTCCATTTTAAACATACACTTAAAACATCATTTAATATCATCTACGAAAACACAGAAACACACTTTCGTTCTTTAACTTTATTTCTTGTCTAACGTATTATTCCTATATTCTTTATTATACGTACACGTTACACGGAACTCTCTATATCTATGCTATTTTCTTTATTTATATTAATTTTTTGTTTAAAAACAATATGGCAGCACGTATGGTTAAGTACGGCCCGGTAAATCGGAAAAACATCGGTACTACAGTAATTAGATCTACTATTCTACTACTTACCATCACTATTACCAACACCATCATCACTACCATCATTAACATCATCATGATCATGATCATCATCATCATCATCATCATCATCATCATCATCATCATCATCATCATCATCATCATCATCATCATCATCATCATCATCGTCATCATCATTATTATTATCACTATTATTACTATCTACTATCACCATCTGCTCCCCTTTACTGGCATCACGAAGAATCTCGACGACCAAAGTTTATATTCCCGTTTTTTTGGATTATTATACCATGGATATTTTTTCTTTCCCAATTGGCTCGTCGTGATTCACGTGATGAAAATAAATTGAAAATCCAATCATTGTGCGAGGGCGAATAAGCGGGAACCGTTTGTCCATCACAATCTTTGGGCCTCGTCGTCGATACTTGGGGCCGCGAAAATGGAGGAGCATTAATTAGGATATATACATATAAACGTTTATATATATATATGTATATATCTCTCGAAAAGGACATCGTGTCTCGTAGGGAAGAGAGAGCGTTTTTTCAGGCGCAGTTTCTAGCAGTTTGGAAGAAAAAACAAGAAAGTGCAGGGGGAGAACATTTAGCACCGTCTATCTTCGTCTATCGTCCGAAGTGTCTTCACACCCTTTGAAGAGACCCCCTTTTTTCCCCCCATTTTTTAACGTAACCCTTTAGGATCTATCTATCTATCTATCTCGTTTAGCCTCCAGCTGCTGCTCGTGCCAATTTTCTGTTGGACCATTTGTGGTCTCTCTTTTTCTCTCTCTTTGTCTCTTTTTGAATTTTGTTTGTTTTCAAGGCGTCGAGATCTGTGAACAGCGGAACGAACGAACGAACGAAATAAATGAAAGAAAGAAAAATAACGAACGAACAAACGAACAAACGAACAAACAAACGAACGAAAGAAGCAAGAACGTGTATCAACAAACATCAGCTCATCTGATTTAGGCCTCCTTTTTTTTTTTAAATAAAGGGTGGAAGAGCGAGTGTACCACATGTCGCTGTCATGAGAGCTTTGAACTTTTGACACACTAACACCGATTGTTTTTTGTTCCCGTTTGCGATACACTCGCGGTCTGGTGCGTAGCGCGAGACGTACAAGCTGGAGGCGAAGGCCCAAGACAAGGGCGCCAACCCAATGTCGCGAACGGTGGAGGTTCAGATTGACGTTGTGGACCGTGCGAATAATCCGCCCGTATGGGACCACGTAGTGTATGGCCCGATCTACTGTAGAGAGAACATGGCCGTTGGGGCTAAAGTTGTATCTGTTAAAGCCAGGTCTGTCACACTGTTAATGCTCCGTGCGGCTCTCTGCACGAACCCGCCGCCCTGCACGCAATCTCGTGGCAGTATATTGTTTCTTGTGCACGTTATTAATTGATATTGTGTACGAATTTCGCATACACACGCATACAACACACATAAACACGCTTAATTACCCCCAATTCCCTTCCCCCGTTACATTAATACAAATCATTGTTTTTGACATTGACAGAAGTGTTTTCTTCTTTTTTATCGACTAATTTTTTTACGTATTTTGTTTTTTGTTCAGATCACTTTAGATACGCGACAATTATTTTTGCGATTGCTTAAATTAAATTAAATCGTTAACTTACGTTACGAAATTATTATCAATTATTTTTATAATTATGTTTCTCCGTTTTTTTTTTTGTTATTGAACTCGAATATATCTTCCTACGCGCACATAAACAATAAACACGTGTCATGCAACAATCAAGGATCAAAATAATACATCACATGATAAAAAAATGAATTCTAGCAATGAGACCCCCTTCCCCTCAGTAGTAGTTTTGGAATCGTATTATTATTATTCATTACGTAAATACATATACTACGTAAAATTTTGTATACAGTATAGTGAGTGTTTGTGTGCGTGCGTGCGTGTGTAATATGCGTGCGCGTGTGTGCCGTAAACAGTTTTTTGGGCATGTTTTACGACTATAGATGCTTACCAGAAATCACTCCCACCAAAAGTACACTCTCACATTCACGCGTCTTTTTGACCATTGTGTAATATTTTTTTGTTTTGTTTTTGTTACCCATCGTTTTGCACATCTGATTGGCTTTTTTTCAAAATTTATTTTTTTCCTCTCTCTTTCTATCTTAAGAGAGAGCTATATTTCGACGATGTTGTTATTGTCTATTTAATTATGATAGTTAGTACGCGTAAGATATAGCAAGCAAATTTATTTTAACACGAGGACACGTGTAATCCGAAGACAGTGATGAGAGTGTTAAAAACAAAAACAGCGCATTTCATTTTTATCGTCAGAGACGCCATAGTTAATTTTTCTTTTTTTTCTTTTTCTTCTTCTTCTTTTCTTTCATTTTTAAAAGAAAATACGTCGACATAACGTTTCGTGGTTTTTTTTTCGTCCCAAATTTTGGTTATTTACAGTTTCGTAAAGATTTGCATATATATATTTTATATCGAAACCTTAGATCGCCGAAATGTATTTTTTTTCATGAATGCCATCGATGATTCATTTTTTGGGCATGCGTTACACAAGTTGCTTAAAATTACATGCGTTAGGTATATCGTCTAAAAAAAAAAAAAAACATATTATGTATACGTAACATAATTATATCATATCGTATCATACATTTCTATATTTTTTTTTTGTCTCATTTTTCATTTTTTTTTTTTTGTAATTTTTTTACTCCTCCATTCGAGAGCGTAGTACGTATAATAATTGTGTTCTTCGTAGTAATTTTTTTCGTCGACGAAAACAAATTTGTTTTTGCCCTGTGAAAAAAAAAATAACCAGCAATGTTACGCGATGTAACGAGAGTTTCCAGAAATTCGGAAATCCGGAGATAAAAAAAAAGGAAAGAAAGAAAGAAAGAAAAGAAAAGAAAAGAATCGATAGGGGGTGGGGGGGGGGGTCAAATTAAAAAACAAAAAAAACGGAAAAAGAGAAAAGCAAATAAAACCACACGAAGAAAAAAAAAACGGAAAGTTCGAATACGGTCGTAAAAATGTGACAAGTTTACGAGAGTAAAGAATTAACTATGACAAGTATGGCAAATGTTACGTTTTGTTTGAGAACTTTCGTAAAACGCGACTTTACAACTTGCTTCTTCTTGTTATATTCGTACTTGCGGCTAAAAGTAGAATAAAAATGATATGTTTTTTCGAGGATTCATGAAGGGGAAAACGATAATAAACGGTACATCGTATATGTCCTCTTTCTCTCTATTTTTCTCTCTCTATTTTTCTCTTTCTCGCACTAATTTTAGATATTTCCAGTCATTCGTTAGTATTTTAACGTCTAAACAACACGTGAAAAACATTGAGATAGGACAGAAAAAGCTATGATTGAAAATTAGGATTAGATATATACATCTATATATATATATATATATATATATATATATCATTAGGATAACAATCTTGTGTGTGTGCATCGTAGATAAAGCTTCGTATTAGTCTCGTTCATGTGTATTCGTTTGAATAGAACAATTCGGGATATACACGTAAATCTTTCCTTTCAACGATGCTTTTCGTGCGCACAAACATACACACACATACACATATATTTATCAAAGCACATACGAGGTATTACGATTATGCGTATCGTAGTATTTACTTACTTGTTCACGTGCGAGCACATGGGTTGCAAAAGGGTAAAAGGGATCGTGCTTATTCGAGCTAACTCTACTAACCAAAACATACATACATATATACAGTGTAACATCATACATATGTACATATGTATGTATTTACACGCGAGAAGAGAGGTATATATCCGCTGGACATACACGACCGGTCAATTTTCTACTTTTGGCAGAAAGCATAAAAAAAAAAAAAAATACGAACTTTTTCATAGTAGGTTTTTTTTTTCTCTTTAGGAGAAGTAACGATCAAAGGATTAACATCTTTAACGTTAGAAAAATCATCGAAGTTTATTCATTATATATATATATATATATTTAAAAAAAAATCATACGATTTATTTTGCATATTATTTGATATTTTCAAAAATAGTATCATTTTTTGTTACTCGTATGTTTCATCGTTACGATACGACCCGCATACGGGTCGTTAGTTACGGAAGAAGGATTAATTAAAACGTACAAATATTTTCACTTTAAAATAGAAAAAAATATTTAAAAAAGTATATAGAGTAAAATTAAAGAGAAAAAAAAATAGGAATAGACATCGATTTGGTGGAGAAAGAAAGAAACACTGGAGGCGCGAGAAAAAATATAATTCGTTGAGAAAGTTAAAGTCGAGTAGGCGTTTGAAATAGAAAAAAGAGAGTCATCGAAAAAAATTCTCAAAGGACGTTATAGAATGACGGACTTGACACGCGAACACCATTGAATTTCTCATATTATTTGGTGATATTTGAGAACGTAGTTTCTACAAAAGCTCCTCTTTAGGTAGCACTAGTAGTACGAGCTTTCTCTCATGCCGACGTATTCTCGACTGACAAACGGTGCTATTAATTTGGCGCCGAGTCCTTTAGAAACGTATGGTTCACCAATGTGACTTTGTGGGCGGGAAGGAGGTAGGGGGATGGGGAGGATAGAGATAGAGAATGGATTTCTCTCTCTCTCTCTCTCTATTTCCCTTTACCTTCCATCCTTTTCACGGATCGATGAACCGTACGTTCTGTTCGGACGTTCAACGTATGACTCGGAAAGCACATCCTACAGGGCCCATTCTTTTTCAACGTGCGATTGTGGGTCTGTGTTTGGGTGTGTGTCTGTCTGTCTATCTGTCTGGATCCCTTCGAACTATCTCGTTCTTTTTTTTTTACTTTTTTTTTTTATTTTATTCCCCTATCTCTTTTTCTTCGAAATAAAAAGACAAAAATATCTGGGATTAATGAAAAGGTCCAATTTTATGTTTTTTTTTTTTTCATCTTTTACTCGTGTAATACATTGATTTCTTTTTTCTCTTTTCTACTTTTAAATCTATAAGGTATAATTCTTTTGTTTTTCGCAGTAAAGAACGATCAAAATGAAAAGAAAACGTAGGAGATATTTATGGGTAAAATTTTGCGATAATGTTTTTTTATTAGAGAAACTTCTAATGGATGATAACGACGACGATGATGATGATGATTCACGACTATTTTCGAAGAAAATTCTTGTTAAAGTTTGTCGCGCATGTTTAATGAAGTTTACGTGATGTAACGTGTCTCTCGTTTATTATTCATACGCGTGATAATTACTATGAATCAATCATATCTAATTTCCCTAGCGAGTGTAACTGAATCGAGATAATTTATCGAATAATTTAAAAAGAATGAACATTATTAATGATGTTATGTGTAATTAGGAGAGTAGCAGTTCAGGACGGTATGAATTAATTTGCTTTTTTTTTCTTTTTATCTCTACAGGAAAAATATATGTGATTACATTTTAATTTAGATTGTTTAACAATTTCAAAATTAAACAAAAATAATAAAAAGTCGGTCGTAATGAGTCCAGCGGTAAATACGAAAACGACAAACAGCCAAACTAACATTTGTCAAAGCAACAATTTCGTGCCTGAAACAAGGCAGAAGTTGTGTATTGGAGAAGGGAATTGTAGCTAGTGTTTCATTATCGTTGTGTATTCGTCGATCATGCCAACTGTCTCTCTCTCTCTTTCTCACTCTCTCTTTCTCTATATCTCTCTCTCTCTCTCTCTGTCACTATTATATGGTGTTTGTTTCTTTTGTCGAAAATATCTATGTTATGTATCAGAGGCTCACACTAAAAAACATATAGAAATGTATCGAAATCCTTTAAACCACCGGGTTATATACTCTCATTATTATTGAAACGGAAAATACGGACGACTAGTCGGAAAAAGAAAAAGAAAAAAAAAATAAACAAAGAAAAAAAAAGATATATCATTATTTTGTCGACTAGAAAAAAAAAACTATTCGAATTCACAACATAACACGAAATATCTTCGGAAATCATTCGAATTCTTCGATGATTTCTTCTCGCTTGCAAAAAAAAAAAATAAAAAAATAAAAATAAAATAAAAAGAGGAAGTAAAAAAAAAAGGGTAACTAAATTTATCGCATTAAGAAGAAATTTGATTTTATTCCATTTGTTTATATTTAAATATTACTTTTTTTTTTCGTTAAGTATATATACATAGATGAAGAAGAACGAGAGTATCGTGATTGAAAACGTTCAATGATCTTTCCCATTTTTTTTGTTTTAACTAAAAAAAAAAATCTATACAAGTTTGAAAAAAACAAAAAACAAAAAAAAAAGATTTGTAGATAATTTCATTCTCGATTGACTTTTCGTTCTTTAAAGTAAAAGTTCCTTATTTCGTCTTTATTATAATCGTATGTGTATATTATTATATATTTGATATTTCGCATGTTATGAGATCTTTCATTTGAAGACATTTATTATATCGATAGTAAAAAAGTAATAGTTGATTTATTTGTTTATAATATTTTTTTTTTTTCATTATCTATTATAACGATAATATACAATTTCCGTGTTCGTTTCTGTTAAAAATTTTCCGTTTTGATTTACAAAGTCGATTCGATAATCGCTTGAACAGTTATAAACTCTTATTATTATTATTATTATTATTATTATTATTATTATTATTATTATTATTTCCATTTTTGTTTCTATCACATTAAATTCGCGTAATAACGTTTGATTTTCGTGTGTATGTCTCAACAGTTCTGGAATCGAAAATAATCCAACGGTCTTTTACCACTTAATGCCTGGTTCTACGGCACAAACGAACAAGTATCACACCTTTTATCTTCAGCAACGTGCTGAACAATCGGTAACGTGGGCGGATATCAAAGTTAACCATCCGTTGGATTACGAGAGTATAAAGGAATACAATTTGACGATACGTGTTGAGGTAGGTTGAATTTTATCAATGATATTTAAATTATAATTTATGTTTTACATCTAATAGAATAAAATAGATCGAGTATACATATATAGATGAATTTGATAGAGTGATAATAAATTACGGTATGACGCTGTTGATAGTTTCGAAAATATAATGTGCGTTAGATCTCATTGTTCGACACGCTTTGATAGATATAACATACACATGTATGTATATACTCGTTCTCACGTACGTGTCATACGTATTATGTTCTTCCATAGAACAATGGAGCGCAACAACTTGCATCAGAAGCGACGGTTCACATTATGTTGGAGGACGTTAACGACGAGATACCACTTTTCACCGAACGTGAACAGGAGACCGTGTTAGAGGGTGAACCGATCCGTAGTAAGGTTACTCAGGTCAACGCCATCGACAAGGATGGTACTTTCCCGAACAATCAGGTAAGTTTGATCCGATCAACACTTATCTTGCTTTAAACTGAGCTATATTAACTGATACAATCGATACTCGAGAGCATGTTTATTTGATAAATTAATTTTCATTTAAAAAACATAGTTTATCTTTCTCAAATTGTAAATGAAAATTGATAAAATGTATTATTTACAAAAAGGAGATAAAATATTATAGACGATTTGGAAAAATGAAATATTTATTTCTCAAAATCTTTAATCATTATTATCATCGAAAATTCAATTGAAATTTTCAATTGAAATGTAAAGGAAGAAAATGCGCGTTAAGATATTGCAAATGTTATTTCGTTGGATTTTAGTTGAAAAGCGTATTATCTACGTAAAGGGGTACCTCTTTCTACAGAGAAAATACAAAAGTAGTCGTAGAAATTGTAATCGTAGTTTCTCGGAAATTCTCACTACGCGGATCTTTTGAGAAACTTTGAGCGCGTATCTTTTAAGGATTCGGAAGTTAAAGAATTGGTTACGTGACTCGTGTAGGTCGCATATAGGCAAGAAGCTTATACACAATAGTGAAGATCGAGACTTGAAACGAGTCTCTTAGGAATGTCTATTATTCGAAGTAGCTACGTTGGAAACGTACGATCGCTGGGAACTATCGTTGCTCTTTGATATCTAAGAGAAAAGGACTGTTTTCATGATAAAAGTAACGACGTGAGCAACCTAGCATAGAGAAAACGAACGAAACTATACTACTACGTATATAACTGTATATACCATCGACGTACTTCCACCTTTGATCAGTTCATCGACCTGAAAAAGATACTTTCGGATATTTTCGAAACGATTCGATACTCTGCATGATCTTTTCCCATTCTATTGAATATCATTTCATATTATTTTTTTTTTCTTCAATTTAAAGGGAAAAATATGTTTAGAAATAACACACAATCGTTTTATATTACTTACAATATATTATATTTTCTTTTTTTTTCAATTTTTCACTAAATTGAATGTCTTATTTTATTCGCATAATTATTTATCGTACATTACCACTAGAATAGCAAGGAAAGGAATTATTTATGCTTATCGACTATGCAAGAGAGCTCTTTTATTCGCCTCGAATGATCATCCAATCGCATATCCTCGCATCACTGATAGGAAATAATTATCCGACGAACAATTTAAGGAAGAAGAAGAAAAATCGAAAATTCCCCCGTAGTTTCTTCCAATCTCTCTAATTGCACCGGACAAAATCGATTGGTCTCTGCCAAGTGTCCGGAGTTTTTTTTTCTTACTTAAAAGGGAAGAATAAACATTTTATTGCGATAAAATTAAAAAGAAAAAATAAAAGCTTCGCGATTGATTAGATTTGGGCCTGTCTAAGATTTGTCTTTATAATTTTATTCGTGAATATTTTAAATAAAATCAATGTTAGTAGATTGAAACAATTACCAACATGAATTAAATCTTCATTTATATTTTATTCTTTCTTACGAGTCATCCTATTTTTTTTTTTTTTAAAGAACTTTTACACAAAACGTACGTAATCACATATTAGATATATAGGGTAATAAATCGAATGAAGATTATGGTAAGAACAAAAGCCGTAAATTTATCTTTATCCTTACAGGTTACGTATTATATAGTGGACAGCGACAGAAACGAAGGAAAGAATTATTTCGAGATTAACCGTGAGACCGGTGAGATTTTTACTAAAATAGTCTTCGATCGTGAGAAACAAGGTGCTTATGCTCTTGAGGTTGAAGCCAGAGATGGGGCACCATCAGCGAGACCCAATAACAATGGTCAACCAAATTCAGGTACGTCATTTCTTTTTTCTTCATAATTTCACTTTACACACATTATTTCATGAACATTTCTTTCAATGGCGACATGTCGAAACTGTAATTAATTAGATTGATGATAGTTTTATTTTAATGTTAACATTCTTTCTTTTTTTTTTCCATTGGTATATTGAAACATTGATTAAATTCTATAACGATTAACGTAAAAGCTTTAATTCGATATACTCGTACACATTTACATAGTAAAATGTTGACTATCAATTAAATTCTACTATGTAAAAACACATGAATTTAATTAAAAATTAATAACAACATATTGCAACCAATAATATTCTCAAAGAGATTTATTCAATATGTGGAATTAAGTTATTCTTTTTTATTCTCTCTCTTTATATATCTTTCTCTTTTTCTAATGAAAGATATTTTTCAGGAGTCACATGAATAGATATATTTAAAAATGATAAGTGAGAAATAGCATCGATAAATATTTAAAAATATTAAATTTCTAATTTGAATGTTTCTTAACTCAAATATATATACGTATTCAATTTTCTCGTTCAACTTTTACAGTTTTCATATTTTTTCAACTTTTATTATACACTCACATAAATGTACATACTAATATTTATCCAAGATTACTGAAGATAAATTCTCTTAGAAGATTTTCTTTCTTAAACAATTATTTAACCAAAGAAAATTACTTCCAGGTAAAAGAAGGGAATATATTTTTTATTAGTATAACTATTTTCTTTTTTTTATGTATACGTCGTTAAATTAATTAAATTTGCTAATTTATGAAATTATTTAATAGTTATATAATAAATATATCGATCAGTACTTTTTATATTCGAAATATTTGAAATTTAGAAAAAAACGATATAAAAAGAAAACTTAGTTTATAACGATATTGTTATTTAAAAAAATATTTTCTATTTACTAACGCGATACTATAACTTCAATTAATTCAAATATCAGCGTATTCAAGTCAATGGTTACATTGAAATCAATTCGAGTACGTTAATTCAGCAAAATCGTATTAACCGATTACAACAGTTACGCGATTCGCAAATCTAAGTTCGTTGATTTTCACCAAAGGCCTTTTATATCAACGCAAAAGTAAAATCTTCTTTTTGTCTTTCATTTGCTTCAAAGATTAAAAGAAGAATTCATTAGATTTTGAAAATAGGAGCTTCTTTTCTTTCTCTCTTTTTCCCTCTCGAACAAAAAGAAAATTTACCTTTTCTTTTCTTTTCTTTTTTTTTATTTCACGAGAAGAATATTTCCTATGAGTAAAACTAGGAAAAGAAGATAAAGATGAGGGATTAGGATTTAATTCCGAGAGATAACGTCGATAGAACACAGGGAAAAGGGGAGACAAAAATCTATTAGAAGATGGAAAAGAGCCAAAACCCAGGTTTGAAATCAAACCGAGTCATAGGATTTTTATGTTCTTACAAAAAATAAAAAGTTGATAGTACCCAAAGCAAACTCACCATAAGAATGCTGTCCCGTACTTTTCTCTAATATTTCTTTTTTCTCTGATTTCATCATAGAACGTCGTAAAACATATTAACGTTAGTCAATTGAAGTTCTAATAAATTTTTGATTGATTCTTTCTCTGATGGAAGAACATAGAATCTTTTTCGTTGATTTTACGATGTATTTTTTTTTTGTTGTTGTACAAATCGTGACTTTTTTTATTCAATTTTACTCAACGTTCAATTATTTTCTATAACTTGTGAAAACTTATGATACATTTTGACTAAAATTTGTCGTTTTATTTGATCAAAAATGTATATGCCACATATATATTTAATTAAAAACATTAAAAAGCAAATTCAAATTTAAATAAAGCAAGATGTAAATCTTTATTGATCTTCGAGTTTGAAAGGATTGAAATATCATCAAAGATTTCAACGAGCCAACGTCGTTTGCTCGACAATGTTTACTCAACGCGAGTAATCTTACTAGGAAGCATATAACTTCGAAGTAAAAGGATTTCATGTACAATGTAGAATTTGCAAGTTATTCAAAGTTTACTTAAATGTTACGCGTTTCTCTATCGATATCTATAAAGACGATACGAGATATATATAGGGTGTCCTTTATATCGATGATTCTCTCTATAAAAAAAAAAAAATAAATAAAAACTAATTCGAAAAAGTAGAATAAAAATTAGTTTGTATAATGTTTCGTTTTTTGTACCATCAGTTTACGGAACATCCTGTGTTACATATATTCATAGGGTACTCAACTAGTAAAATGTTGTTCCCACCCAAGGAAACATTAAAAATAGATAAAATTGAAACGAAATTGATGTACTTTGGAATATATAATAGACTTACACGCGTGTTACTTACGTCCCATTACAATCAAATAGCAATAATCCGTGCACGTTAGCGAAGTTAACTATAGTTGGGTATCTTGCTTTACTCTTGAACCAGGGATGAAAACTGTTAAATCGCAATTATACTAAATTGCAAGAGGGTACTTGGCACGTTGCCGTTGGAAAATGAGAATATAACGTACCGTATGCATGTATATATGTATGTAGATATGTATGTATTTATGTATGTACAATTCGCGTACGTATTGTTAACAATAGAGTCGAATCGTTGTAAAATATAACGGAATAGGTGAAGAAGAGTGGGAGTGGAGGGGAGTTTAAACGACAGTTTGCTCGCCCGTTTACGAGCATGGTCTGATAATTAATTGCATCCTTTTCGTATTGCGAAATAATTGGGTCGTAACATTGTCGAATGTTCTTGACATTTTTTTCTTTCCCTTCTTTTTTTTTTTTTTTCATTATTTAATAGACAAGCAAGAGCTCTCGCTGAGACGTTCATTAATTTTCTGTTCTTTTTATTTTTTTTTCTTACTATTATCAATTTTTTAATAAGAAAAATTCGATTAATTATGAACGAATAATCTCATGGTCGATTTTCGTCGACGTCAAATGTTGTAAAAAAAAAAAAAATTATTCAACGCAACAAAAAAGTGGAATAGCAAATGGTTAAATGTAAATAAGCACTTAATATGCTGACTTTGATCGAGCCACTACACTCGTAGCACAACGTTGCTTAACTTTCTCCAATTTCCTTTCCTTCCTTTCTTCCTTCCTTCCTTTCTTCCTTCCTTCCTTCCTTCCTTTTTATTTCAAACATATGCAAATATTATTATTTACATTCTAGAGCGAAATATTTTATTAATTTATTGTTATCGGAAGAACAGATCTCGCGAATATTCATTCGAGTGCATTTTTTTTTCTTTTTTTTGTCAATATTTAACGTAAAACATTAATCAAATGCAAAAAGCGTATGGACCGATATTCGTTTATTCGCGGTTTAATAGGTAAAAGATACATCATTTTTCTTTTTACAGGAAGATAAAAAGAGAAAAATGGTCCATCACGATATTTTATCGATTTAAACTTTTCAAATACACACACATATATTACATAAACACACCGTTTTAGTTCTTTTTTTAGGAAAAAGATTATTTTTTGTATTTTACAAATGAATAGAAGAAAAATTCCAACACTAACAAAACTAGGTACGTTTATCTTTCTCCATATTTCCATTTCCATACAAAGCAAAATTTCAAAATCGACACCGAGGTTAAATTCCGCTTCGTATCTGGTAGGCAGACCGTGAAGAGATAAACACGATATTGTGCGGGACGTTTCTAAACTTTCCTCGTAAGTTGGCAACAGGCCTTGCTGAACTGTAACGCGTAAAGAAAGACCACACACTCTCGAGAGTTCGGACATTGTGTAGTGGGCAGGATCAATATCATAGTGTTTTCGCCACTGAAAACACACAACTATAACGAAAAAGTGATCTCGATAACGTAACCGTCATATTTCAACTTTTATCCATGTCTGGAAACTTTCTTTACCATGAAATAAATAATGTTTTCAAGTTGATAGTTTGTTTTTTCTCGTAGAAAAAAATCTAGGGATGTAGGAGGAAAGAATGATGGATGGAAATATCAAATCAAAATTAATTTTTCTTTCAATTAATTTTTATACGTTTAAATTGTTATCGTTAAATTATTAAGAGAAATCAAAATAACTACGTATAGGAAAAAAAATTGTGAAAACAACGAAAAGAAGGGCAAGAAAAAGGGAAAACAATGAAATGTGCTACGTGCGTCTTTTAGAGAGCGTAAATTTTTTTTCCGAGCACGAAACGGCGTCGGACAGATTTGCGAATCGAGACTCAGCACCAGCACCAGCAATAGCAGCAGCAGCAGCAGTAGCAGCAGTGACGTCACGGGCAGAATAGGACGGAAAGGATGTTTGTGGAAAGAGAGAAAGAGAGAGAGAGAGAGAGAGAGAGAGAGAGAGAGAGAGAAAGAGTGCAAACCAACTCTGTATAACCAAAACCCACACTTCCTAGCATATATATATACGCGTTTCCGACATAACGAATTTGCTGGATGTACGAGGCGGAAAGAATGTCTAGCCATTTTTTTTACCCATATTCGGGAAACGAAGGGAAATTTTGGTGAGCCGATACGTCCAGTAAATTGGAGGTTAGTAATGAAATTTATTATCTAGGAGAAAGTCACGAACAATAGATCATTATGTTTGATTATAATCGAAAGAGTAATATACGTGGTTGGTATATCATATATCGAAAATTATCGAGAACAATTAAAATTGGATTGTTTAATATTTTTATCGGCTTTGATCGTATAATAAATGGAATTGATATTCGTATGGATCCGATGATATTAGTGCCTTTCTCGAAAATACAATAATAATAATAACGCGATTGCTTGAATTACTATTATAAACATTCATTGGTGTGACGTTTGTATGAAGTAAACGGCTGTATTTCATTTCGAATTTAACGTAGTCGTCCTTAATGATATTACCTGACAAACGAGTAATTTCGGTCGAAACATAATTTTGCGAATTACGCTAGAAAACTCGCTTTAGAGCGTGACGAGACAGAGACAGAGACATATTAGAGAGAAAGAGAGAAAGAGTCAGATATTCGCACAAATAC